GGTCTTGTCCATCACATCATTCTCCTAATGATGTGATCCCGTTATTAACGACATCCAATGTCCATGGTTAGGAAATCGTAACCATCTATTGATCAACGAGCTAGTCAACTAGAGGCTTACTAGGGACATGGTGTTGTCTATGTACCCACACATGTATCTGAGTTTCCTATCAATACAATTATAGCATGGATAATAAACGATTATCATGAACAAGGAAATATAATAATAATTACTAATTTATTATTGCCTCTAGGGCATATTTCCAACAAGCCACCCCCTTGGCCGCCCCCCCCTTAGAAATCCCATCTCCTAGGGCCGGCGCCCCCCTAGGGGCCCTATATAAAGAGGGGGGAGGGCGGCCAGACCCATGCTCTTGGCGCCTCCCTCTCCCTCTACTACACCTCTCCCTCTCGCAGACATTTGATGAAGCCCTACCGAGATTGCTGCTGCATCCAGCACCACGCTGTCGTGCTGCTGGATCTCCATCAACCTCTCCTTCCCCCTTGCTGGATCAAGAAGGAGGATACGTCTTCCCCAACCGTACGTGTGTTGAACGTGGAGGTGTTGTCCGTTCAGCACTAGGATCATCGGTGATTTGGATCACGACGAGTACGACTCCCGCAACCCCGTTCTCTTGAACGCTTCCGCTCGATCTACAAGGGTATGTAGATGCACTCCTCTCACTCGTTTCTAGTTGAACTCATAGATTGATCTTGGTGAAACCGTAGGAAATTTTTTATTTTCTGGAACGTTCCCCAACATTAGGTACTATTGTGAACTCATTCTAAATTCATATTGGTGTAATATCTACTGTATTCCAATTTTTCTATGGTTCATACCCTCCGATACTACTCATAGATTCATCAAAATAAGCAAACAACACATATAAAACAGAATCTGTCAAAAAAAGAACAATCTGTAGTAATCTGTAACTCTCGAATACTTCTGTAACTCCAAAAATCGTACCAAATTAGGGAAACCTGGGAGATTTATTACCAAGCCAGAGCAAAAAGAATTAGATCAAAATCACGTTTCTGTGAATTATCAAAACTAATTTACTGGGCACAAAAGTTTCTGATTTTCAGCAGGATCAACACAACTATCACCGTAAGCTATCCCAAAGGTCTTACTTGGCACTTTATTGAAACAAAAGCTATATAACATGATTACTACAATAGCATAATCATGTGGACACATAAAAACAGTAAGGATAAATATTGGGTTGTCTCCCAACAAGCGTTTTTCTTTAATGCCTTTCTAGCTAGGCATGATAATGACAATGATGCTCACATAAAAGATAAGAATTGAAATATAACGAGAGCATCATGAAGCATATGACTAGCACATTTAAGACTAACCCATTTCCTATGCATAGCGATTTTGTGAGCAAACAACTTATGGGAACAATAATCAATTAACATAGGAAGGCAAAACAAGCATAACTTCAGGATTTTAAGCACGTAGAGAGGAAACTTGATATTATTGCAATCTCTACAAACATATGTTCCTCCCTCATAATAATTTTCAGTAGCATCATGAATGAATTCAACAATATAACCATCACATAAAGCATTCTTTTCATGGTCTACAAGCATAGAATTTTTATTACTCTCCACATAAGAAAATTTCTTCTCATGAATAGTAGTGGGAGCAAACTCAACAAAATAACTATCATGTGAAGCATAATCTAATGGAAAATGAAAATCATGATGACAAGTCTCATGATTATGTTTATTCTTTATGGCATCTGTATCATCATAATAATCATCATAAATAGCAGGCATGCTTTCATCATAATAAATGTGCTCATCAAAATTTGGGGGACAAAAAATATTATATTCATCAAACATAGCATCCCAAGCTTGTGGCTTTGCATATCATTAGCATCATGGGTATTCAAAGAATTCATACTAACAACATTGCAATCATACTCATCATTCAAATATTTAGTGCCAAACATTTTATAGACTTCTTCTTCTAGCACTTGAGCACAATTTTTCTTACCATCATTCTCACAAAAGATATTAAAAAGATTAAGCGCATGAGGCAAACTCAATTCCATTTTTTTGTAATTTTCTTTTATAGACTAAACTAGTGATAAAACAAGAAACAAAAAGATTAGATTGCAAGATCTAAAGATATACCTTCAAGCACTCACCTTTCCGACAACGGTGCCAGAAAAGAGCTTGATGTCTACTACAGAACCTTTTTCTTGTAGACGTTGTTGGGCCTCAAAGTACAGAGGTTTGTAGGACAGTAGCAAATTTCCGATTATATGGCACATCATGTGTGTTTGATTCGTTGTGTATGTTTAGGGCTGGAAAAAACACTCGAAGCTCGCAAGCTAAAGAGTAGTTCGTGACTCGGCTCGAATCGACTGGAACTCGAAGAATAACGAGTCGAGCCAAGCTCTAGTTTAAGATTGTTTATAGACCAAGTTAAATGAGCCGATCTCGCGAATACTCGTGTAACTCGCTAGGCTCGGTACAAAAGATCAAGCAAGCACTCGGTGTCCCGGACGCACAATACAAGGCCCAGCCGCCCGGGCGACTCGCACGTCACACACAACGATTTCTCTCATTCCATTTATATTCTTAGCGAAGTTATAGGTGGTCTATTTCCCTCATGTCTTTGTTGTTTCTTTCTCCTATGAATTGTTATGGCGGTGGCGATGCGGCTACACCGTTGATGGTACTGACAATTGTAAGTGATGCTCGTACATGCTTACAATTTTTTGTGAACATTGTACACGTTTAATATGTACATTATACATTCTCAAGTAATCATTTTCATTATATTCATAAGGTTTTATGTTCATATCCTTAACGAGCTTAACAATCGGCTGATACATTTTCGTTCCATTCGTAAGGCCACATTTCTAAAAACCGCACGAAAACTTTGTGCGAAAATATGCATGCTTCAGTAGATGTAAGAATCGGGATGCATGTTACGATCGAGCTGTCTGCACGCCATATTTCCATTCCGGATCAAAGCATTATGGTGCACGTCGCAGACGCAGGCGCAGGCACGACGCGGTGAGCACCTGTGCGCTCCCATGTGGCCATGAGCCCATGCCATTCTATACCGGTGCATGCAGTGGTGCAACAGAGGCTCTGAGACGATAGACTAGCTCAGGGCTGGCCCTGAGGGGGTGGCAGGGGGGCGGCTGCCCAGGGCCCTCGAAATCTAGGGGCCCCTCCAGGGTTCGCAAGGAGCCCATGGTCCAGACCATAAGGAGGCAGCGACCTAGACGCACGTAGTTCACGAGTAGTCATGTTTTCCTTCTTTCCATCGCGAGTTCGCCGCTTCGCGACGATACTATTCCCCTGAGGGCCCCGATCGTGAGACGCGCCGCCGATGTAGATCGCTCTCTGACATGCGGCCGGCAGGTCTTCCTCCAGGTCCTCGGGCCCATTGTGTTATCCCGCATTCGTGAGATGTCTCTCATGTGCAAGACGAAGCCACTCCACTTATAAGGTCATCCCTAACCTCCTCTTTCTAGTTGGTCACGTTCATATGGTGCAGCAGCAGTCAGATCTTAGAAGGTCTTGCATATGATGCAGTACAAAATTTTGATTTCGTGTGCCCGTTGCTCTATTTCTTACTTCAATCTGTACTTTGTCAACACAACACCAATCACCTTATCTATTGAAAAATTTGTCTGCTATGTGTTCGATTGTCGGTCTTTGCATTCTCTCTCCAAATCATCATAACTGCAAACTTAACTTAAAAATTGGAAGAAGGTCTCAGCTATTCTTACGAGCATAACTTCAATCCAAGCATGGTTATATAATAAAGCCACTCAGACTCCCATAGCCATCGGGTAGGTAAATGATCTTTTATTGTTGCGAATGAAGCTTTTAAACTTTATAAACCTTTCATCTTGATGTTTGCCCTCTATCAGGTATTCGATTTGTCTAATTAAGTAAAGGAGTACACCATTTACATTTTTTGTTTTATTTTGGAACAATAGACAACAATAAGTTAAGTAAAGGAATGAACTAAAAAAATAAGATTATTATTTTAATCTTTATAGTAGGGCCTCCTGGTTGTAATTTCGCCCTGGGCCCCCGAAATATAGGACCGGTCCTGGACTACCTAGATGAGGAGGCCACTTGGAGCGGCTTGAGCTTCTCTCCGGCCCTTGTGCTCGCGTGGGTGAAAAAACCACCTAATTGCATGTTTCATTAAATCCCAAAAAAATCATAGATGCACACGCACGTACGTTAATGGAAATCGATTTCGCCATTGCTAATTGGAACGATCACTAAGCAAGCACAGCCCGGTCCGAATAAGCAGACACGCACGATCGACGCGGCGAGGCCTTGCTTGAATGCTTGTGCACCAACGGGCGAGCACTTGGTTCGGTGTTCAATTCCCTTTCCCCTGTTCCTCGCAGTCTGCTCATCCTCTTTCCTTCAGTAGCAGTAGCTCACTTTCCTTCCCACCACCACCACTATACCTGCTCGATCGATCCATGGAGTGGACACCCGACCAGCAGGCTCTCGGGGGCCTCGGCCTCTCCGGTATCTGCCGGGAGATCTGCCGTGTGGTTCACCGCGCCATGCTCCCCAACTTCGTCAACCTGGGTCCCCCGCTGCTCTCCGCGCTCTTGCTCGCCAGCTCCGCCGCCATCCCGCGCCCTCTGCTCCCGCGTCCTCTCCGACCTCCACGACCACGACGGCCCCGGCCTCCTCCGCCTCGTCACGGACAGGCTCGCCTTCTTCCTCTTCGCGACCGTCTCCATCGGCCTTGTCCTCCTGCTCGTGCTCCTCTGCACCACCGCCGCCTACGTCTTCTGCGTTGCCTCCCTCTACTCCACCGGAGGCGACCTCCGCGCCGCCGATCGCGCCCTCAGGGGGTTCCCCACGGTCCCGCTCACGCGGCTCGTCTGCACGTTGCTCGTCGCCGCGGTCCCCATCTTCCTCGTGCTCTGCGCCTCCATCTTCGTCGCCCCCTTGTTCCATCCCCAGGATCTGCTCGGCACTCCGGACAAGATCATGCTGCCGCTGCAGCTGCTGGGATGGGCCGCGTGCCTCGCCGGCGCGGCCTACGTCGCCGTGGTGTGCCAGCTGGCCTGCGTGGTGTCCCTGCTCGAGGACGCCGTGCTCTTCCGCGCCCTGCGCAAGAGTCGCGCGCTCCTCGCCGGCAAGTTCTGGGCGGCAGCCGGCGTCTTCGTCACGCTCGACGGTTGCATCTTCGCCCTGCTCGTGGCTTTCCCGGTTCTGGTCGTGGACGATTCGCTGGGCCTCGGCCTCGGGTTCCAGCTGGCCGCCGGGGTGGCGATGGCGGTGGCTCTGTGCGCGGTGGTGCTCTTGACGCTGGTGGCGCAGCCGGTGTGCAAGAACCACCACCACGAGGTCATCGACAAGGTCCACCTCGACTGAGTTCGAGCGGCCGTCACACAGGCGTTGAGCTGCTGGAGCCTGTCGAGACGGAGCAGATTCCAGCAAATCTGCCTAGCTAGCTGCATCTTGTCCACGACTCTACGGTGGTAGCAGCGTGAAGAAGATTTGACTTAAGTAGTATAGTAGATTGTAGTAGTAAGTTGCTGTAGTCGTAAGTTTGTGAGTGATTATCACTGCACCGGATATGCATGCTTGGCATTATATATGTGTGGGGGTTTGTGAGACTCTAAGTGGGAGTGCTGGGTAGCAGCTAGTACAACTGTTTAAGCTTGACAAATTTTGCAGAAACCGTGATTTTTGTTCCTTTTCTTGGACATGAGAAGAAGAAGGATCCTGATAAGGGTCACACGTGTGACACGAAGCAGTTCCTCCTTGACTTTTTTTATGGCAACTTTAGTTACCCGGAATGTTAAAGTTATGAAGTATGACAACTTTATGTTTGAATGACAAGTTTTAGTTTTCTTGGGAGTTTTTTTCATGGCAATTTTAGTTGTAAAAACCCAAATGATAAGTGTCACAC